AAGAATTACTTCTTGTGTCTTGCTCACAACACTCTTGTTAATGCATCCCAGAATCATGTTTGCTTTTTTTGCAACAGTGTCACACTGTTGACTCATTTAGGGTTGCCAGGTGTCCGGTTTTGAACTGGACAGTCCAGTATTTGAGCTTTCTGTTCAGGAAACAAATTGAGAAAATATAAATGTCCGGTATTTTCTAAATAAGATGCAATGTAGATTGTGATGTAATGGAAAGTGTGTCCGGTATTTTTGTTGAAGCCATCTGGCAACCCTACTCATATTTAGCTTTTGTCCTACTCTTGACCCCTACATCCCTTTCTGCAGTACTCCTTCTTAGACAGTCGCTTCCCATTCTGTATGTGAGACACTGATTGTTTCTTCCTAAGTGGAGTACTTTGCATTTGTCCTTATTAAACTTCATCCTGTTTACCTCAAACCATTGCTCCAGTTTGTCCAGATCATTTTGAATCTTTGAATTTTAACCCTATCATCCAACAGGAGAAGGTAACAGAAGGAGAAGTTAAAGATGGGGGGAAAGGAGGAAAGAGCTTGCAGACCATTTCAGAGGATAGAATTCCATTCCCAGCAGTTACAAAACTGTTGCCTCAATTCAGCCCTCTCTCACCTTCCTAAGGTGACAGTAGATGAGAACTTTAAAATGGAGATCAGGAATGACTTAGGTCAATGGTTCTCAAACTTTTTGGCCCATCTACCACTTGGCTCAATGTAAATCTTTCTGCAGATCACCAGTTGCTAATGGAAACTCAGTTAATGATATAATTAAGCCTACACCATTTTGTTAGTGTAGCAGCTAGGGAGAATGGTTTTATTGAAATTATTAAACAGATTAAGCATTTTAACTCTCTCACCTTTATCATATTCCATTTTAAATAAAGTAAAATATTAATTTATGTCCAGGGGAGGGGAACCTTTTTTGGGGGGGGGGCGGGGAGCAAGTCAGAAGTCAATCAATGACACACAAGAAAAAAAATCAATTGGGGATCTCACACAAGTAAAAATGCAAACACACACCTCACTCACCTATTCCCAACTAGCAGCATAAAAACCCAAAACTCCTCTCAAGCATTGCTGAGGCTCAGAGCTTCTGGCCCACAGCACAGAGACTTGCAGCAGGCATCATCAAATTAAACAGGGGACTGGAGATTCCCACCCCTTTCTTAGCACGTAATCATTTCCCTTTCATTTACTGGGGGACAGGGATTCTGACAGTTGTGGAAGATACATGATTTCCAAAGTCTTCTGCTGAGACAGAAGTGTGACTTATTTGAAACAAGAGTCTGATATCTCTTTATATTACTGGAGCACCTAGAAGCCCTTGTCATGTATAGGGACGTAAAAAACAATTAAAAATAGTAACTGTGTAACCGAGAGGTGGGGAACCTTTTTTGCGTCGAGAGCTGCCGACCCACAAAAAACTCAGGGGCCACACACAAGTGAGAAGCAAAGAAATTAAAAAATAAAACAACTAAAATCCCAAATCCTCACTGATGTGGCCTCTGACTGAGAAGAAAGACACTCCCCATATTCTCCTTGCACATCAGAGCTGGGAGAGAAGGAGGGGAGAGAAGGGAGGCTAATATATTTTGTGTGCTCTAGCCCCAACAGTGGATGGCGAGGGGACTGGAGTGCCAGTATGGGCTCCCCAATGCTGGGAAGGGAGCCTGGAGCCTCAGAGGCTGTATCTAGGCAAGCTGTTCCGCACGCCTGGTGTAACCAATTAAAAACCGTCAGTTACATGGTTAAACACTACCAGCCTCATGCGCTCCAGGTGCTGGTAAGATGGCTTCTGGTAAGATTATGCCTATCGGTTAACCACTTACATCTGTAGTCACATATTAGAATCCCAAAGCACTGAGCACAGTACAAACAGAACAAGAAAACAGCCCTGCCCAAACGTCCTGAATTTCTTGTTGGGCAATTGTAATGCACAGCATGTAAGCTACTGATAGAGGCCAAAAATTTAGTTTAGTATTGCTGTGTTTTGAATTTGAATTGTGGCACCTGGTACAAAAGATGAGCTATACAACATTAATATAGGATTGGTTGTTAGATTAACATATCTCTCTTTTTAATCCAAGTTCGAAGTTAAATTACCATACTCTATTGAAAGTACATACAGTAGTTTGTTATTGTGCTTTCTTTTAGAGATATTTCGGAACTTGGTAATATATGAGAGAAAAGCAACACACTTAACTGCATTTAATGTTCACATTTCTGTATCACGATTGAAAACCTATATTTTAATAGCTACAGTGGGAAGAAGATCTATAAAGACTGTTCACAGATGCAGGGTTTAAAATATATACTTGCTGTAGATATGTTGAATCATAAAATAAAGTTTAGAAGTACACTTTTGAAAGTTTAACAATATAAAAACAAAAGGGCTCACTTTGAATCTTGTATCTGATACTAAAAAAGTTTAACAATGGTTCATGAGTTAGGGGTAGGGAGATGTGTGCCGGGGAGCGGGGAGGGGAAGTAAGTTCTGTTTTTAATCCCATGCCATTCTTTCAAAAGAATCTCTTAAACAGTATATCATGTGCACAACTTACCAAAAAAGTGGAAGCCAATAACTGTCAAGTAGAAATTATCAAGGAAAGAGGTGCAATACCTGGATGGTGATAATGCTTCAGATAAAAATTGTACATAGGTGCTCTGATTACCAGTGTTTACTTTCCTGCATTCACCTCTAGAACTTAGCTGGAAGTCATAACCCTTTTAACATAATACAACAGATTTTCAATTAGACGACCATGTATTGAAGTATAAAATGTTCCAGCTTCCATAATTCTTTATTAAATATTTAACAAGTTGCATCATTTCATTACAACAACTTCATTTTGTCACATTGATCTTTTGCTGTCAGGAAAACAAACTACAATTTCCTTCACTTCTCTTAAGAAAATAAAATGGAAAAAATGATTTTGTCCTTAAACAAAAAAACATTTCCCATTGTGTATCAAATCCAACCATACTTTAAAGCTATTTTGATTGTGAAAAATGAGTATTTAAAGTAGTTTTCATTTTTTTAATCAATTGTAAAGTAGTTTAGTATTTTAAATAGCCTCATATTTTGAGGTGGTTTTACAATAAAAAGTTACGAAAGATTGTGAATTTCATATGGAATGTTTGAAACTGTTTTTCACCTTTGGAAGTAGTCATTTCAGGTTTAAATTTGAATAAAGGTCATAAGTTTACAAACACAAAACATAGCAACATCACCTTCTAGCAGTTTTATTTGAGTTCTGAGAATCATGATGTAGACACTAATACTTGTTAAAGCCGCACTGGAGACAAACTGCCCACAGTCTTTTTTAGAAGCCAATCCTGAACACAGAATTGATTAAAGTTTAAAAGTGCAATACATATATGTACTGCTTTATGTGGGTACACGCTGTATTTATATGTATATATATATAGTGGTGAAAAAGAACAAAAGCTACATTGGTGTTAATTGAAATAGGAAGACAAGACATTCAAAATGAAAAAGCAACATAGGAAAATCCAGATGGCATAAAAAAACCTGAGGCATGTGATTCAATATGGTTTGTGGTAGTGATATGAATGAAAAGTTGTGTGTGCAGTATGACATACCTGAGGGATATTTAACATTAATATGAGTTAGATTCCAGTATTAGCAAAACAATTTTCCCATGCATTTCAAACATGCATTGCTTTCTAGTGCAACATCTTACTGATGTTGGAAGAGACACCTTTTCCAAATTACATACAAGGAAAGGGAAATATTTTTTATATTAAAACACCCTCATGCTTGTAAAATATCCACTCTGGTAATTACAAAGGTTTTTTTCTTTTTCTCTGACACATTAAAATTTCAGTTTTGTATATCATCGGATGGGTGGGTGTGGGGGTGTGGGTGTGTAAAAAGTGGCTCAAATGGGTCACTTACTCCTCTCAGTTATAAATTCCAGAACACAAAGGGTAAATTCCAGGCCCCACTGAAGCCAGTAGCAGTTTTGCTATTCAAGGCCAAGGTTTCACTCAAAGTATCTGAACAGATTCAATCTCTCATAAGTGAGATTTGCAAGTATAATACCGAACTCTGCAGTCTCGATCACCAGGCAGCAAAGGCTAATCACGTAACAGAGGTACTGG